GATCCACCCAGCTACGTCCTGGACGAGTTTTGCACTTCGGTTTTTCGGCTGTGGGTGTGGACTCTGAGGCGTTCTGCAGCCAGTGTCAACCCGTCGCGCTGCAGCCTTCGTTTTGGTGGAAGTTTGGGCCTCCTGATCGCACCTCAAGCATGGAGGATGTCTTATCCTACTACTCCTGCAGAGAAGCGTGCGATCCCGCCTGTTCTTGGCGCCTCCGCTTGTGCGAAATGCCAGCATGCGGGCTGCCGCTTCGCAATGCCTCGTACCGGCATGAAAGTGGCACAAACCCAAAATCCCGGAAGCCAGACCCGATTTTGGTAGCCATTTAGTTGCAGGAGCTGACTGACCAACCCTGCTGGGTAGCAGTGAACCAGGTGCCTTCTGCTCACATGCAACGTACCACAGCGGGCAGACTCAGCTCCCGACCTCCTGGGCCTCGTGACTCGGGTCGCAAAGACAACGTTAACGAGTACACTCTGGTGTCTACTCAGTCTACTCTAGCTTCCATTGGCGTTTTCAGTTCGGAAGGAAGCCCCGGTCACTTCCCTGGCCGCACTCGGAACACAGGAAATCAGGCTTCCTAAGAAACCGGACGTCTTGGCTTCTGTCGGGAAACCACTGCGAGTTCCGAAGGGCTCTGCACTGTACCCGACATCTCATATAGTCGACCCCAGACCTAAGGTCTGTCTTGCTTCCTGCGGGATTGGAGGAAGACCCCAAGACCCCAAGTATCCTGCGCAGCGTGCACGGGGCGGGGTAGACATTCAGGTGACTGATTTGACTCTGTGAGCGATGCTAATCGCCAACAACCGGACCCGCAAAACGTGTTCGGACCAGGGTGAATTGCTTTCCAAAGCCATGCTCCCCATCCAGTGTATGCTGGAGGGACCCCCAAGCTTTCTTAGGGAATCCCTTTCCTGTCTCTCTCTCCCCCCACTCACATGCTCTACTTACACACCTTTGCCCAAGCCTTCCTGATCCGGCCAACGCAGCCGGCGCCAGGATCTCGACAGCCCTGGAGGCTTCCCTGGCAACACACATTGGACCGCCGTAAGCATCAGCAAGCCGTAAGGCCTCACGTGAACTGAACGGCCTGGTCCAACACGGCTCTTTGGACAGCAGCTGGCGCCTGGGAATGGACTGCTTGCTGGGGAATGTCGCTAGCTCGTACCGAAGCATAGCGGACGTGGTCACAAATAAGCCATATGACATATGATATGGTGCTACAAAAGGTTACTGGTTCGCAGGCATTGGCCTCTTGAAAATCGCGAGTAGAGCCCCGCAATCCGTACCCATTCCTAGCAGCCTAGTCAGGGCAGCGGAAATTCGCAAGTTAATGATGGGCTTCTCGGCCGATGCACAACAGACTGCATGGCCAAAGCCGTACCACAAGCCTGTGGTTGGGGGAGCTATAGAATCATAACGAATCATATGAAGGTGTGAAAGCTTAACAAGCACAGACTCTGCCAAGCTAAACCCCCACACGCACGAGGAATAATCCTCTTGAGTCGAGTGGAAAGCGCGCCTCGTACAGGACGGATGTCGCACGGTCGCCTCGGAGGACGCGAGAGAGCCGACCCAGTCTGGCCCACAAGCAAGCGAGACAAAACACAGCCACACCTTGAAGGAGCAGAAGCATCAAAAGAAGGAACGGTAGCAGAATCCAAAGCCAGACAACAACGACACCCCTGCACCACAAAAGCACCAACAATAGCAGTTCCCTCGACATCTGTGGGGTCGGCACACCCTTTTTAGCTTCTAAAAAGGGTCTGTGCCAGGGTTGCTTTAAAATGAAAAGGGTTGCCCCCGACCCCTTCGGCACGGCAGCGACAAGGCTGAGGAAGCATATATTGAAAAGGGCCTGTGGCAACCATTTGCGTCCAACAGCTTGAGCCACCCTTTTTAGCGAAGCTGTTCATGCTAGAATGGGTGCGTGCTAACCTCAAAGCCCGAACAGGCAGATTCGTTTGCTTTGCGGCTATGTTGTGATCGACCGCGTTCTAGCTGCATTGCGCATCAGCACGTTCGTGACAGGCATCGTTTTTGAATTGAGACAACACGGTTGCCATATCTATCTTGCTCGCTGGCTTGCTTGCCTACTTGCTGGGGGTATGGGGAGTGATCTCACCGCCCGGTGGAGCACGTGGAGCGAGCCCTCTACGTTTTGTTTTCGTTTTTTCTCTCTCTCTATCTCTTTCTCTCTCGCTCCCCCCGACGGTTGAAGGTTGCAGCATGTTATAGGCGTCATGGTTTGACCTTTATTGGTGTACTGCATACAACGGTTCTGAAGGAGGCCTGGAACAGCAGGGAGAGATACTCCCAGTCTTTTCAATACAGTCTCAGCAAAATGAAGATCAAGAGGGGCGTGCCAAGGTGTCCGAGATGGGAGGGCCGGATCTGCTGCTGAAATGGGGTTGTGTCAGGCGGCACTATATAATCTGGCTGTATCTGTTCCAAATGGCCTACCCCATGCTACAGTTGCCGAACACTCAGCTTTACCTGTAGTGCACCTGATGTCAGGCATGGGCGGACCATTTTGGCTGCTCATTCATCACTGTTATGGAAGGGGGGCACATGCCCCCCCCCCCGTCCGTCCCTGTTTAGGAAATCCCCGCCGTAACCAATTCAAGAGAAAGGCTGACATCCCCCAGACATCCATGCACCGTCACCTGCTCCATCTGGGGAGGGCGGGCGGGGTGAAGCTGTGAAGATCTGCAATACCTGAACAGACGAACTGCTGGGACCTGATACAAGCACAAATGCACACAGGTTGGGTGATGGTTTCGTGTATGCAGCGGCCATATCCCATCCTACCCCGCCGCAGACTACCCCAGCGGGAAAGGTCAGACCGGTACAGTGTGCAGCATAAAAGCGCTGGGATCTTCCAGTCCTACCGGGCCGGGATACAAAGGGTGCTGTGGCGTGAACACGACTTCAAGGGCATGAGAAAACATTAGGAAACTCGGGAGCAAAGGTGCTGCCGCCACAGCCCCTGCGCGCTGTCACAGTCCCGTGCAGCGGGGAAAGCTGCCACAGTCCCGTGATGTCCCGTGCGGGGGAAAAGCTGCTTCCACAGTGCCGTGCGGGGGGAAGCTGCTGCCAAGTCCCTGCGGGGGAAAGCTGCTTCCACAGTCCGCCGCACACGCAATGTTTACCTACGTTTTTGTAGCTCGATCCTCATGAGGGTAGCGGAGGCACAGTCATGCGTTCTTCTTCTGCTAAAAAGGGGCCGGCACCTACTGCGGAAGCCAGCGCACTGCTATAATGGGTGTGCCAACCCTTAGCAAACCTATAGACGATTGGAAAGGGCCTGAGCTGACCTCTGTATCGTGCCAGCCTGAGCGAGGCCCCAGAAAGCATGTGACGGCTGGAAAGGGCCTGCTCCGACCCTCGCTTTGGGAACTCTAGACTAGACAGACCCTTCTTATTCTGTGGTTGACCCTCCCCTTTTTATAGACCTCCAGGAAACTGCTATCCAAAAGCCGCAGGGTGGGCTTCCTGCTTCGGACGCAGGCGATGCCAAACAACTAAATAAAAGGTCAGATCTCACATGTCAACACGGATAGCAAATCCACCACCCCGAAGCGATACTAGAATTGCCTCACAAGCATGGGCATGAGTTTCTACATGTGGCTGACGCAGCCTCAAAGCGGCTTCTCAGGCAAGAACCAATGCTGTTCTGCTCGGCAAAGGCCGACAGTTCGTCGGCAGAGGGTGCCTCGCAAGAAATCACATCGCCGATCGTCGCAGTATGCTGTGCTACACAAAAGCAAGACGCCTGCAAAGCGTCCTCCGCGACATGCGCAGATCTCCTTGGCATCACAGAGCTCAGTTGGGCCAGTCGCAGCTGCGCGGGTCGGCGTAACACCCGTATGGATGTCCTAACCGTCCGGAGCTTCATCAAGATTAGAGGCTTCAAGGCCACTACTAAAGCGAAGACTAGAGAAAGCTCTTCAGGCCCCCCGGCAAAGGCGGTCCTCACAAGTAGGCTCGCGGAGTTTGAACGCACTGTCTTCGCCACACAGACTGACATCAGCTACATCGAGTCGAGTGGGGAAGCACTGGCACTTCAAAAAGGCACCCCAAAATCGGAACCACAAATATTGCAAATCGGTGCCCGAGGCACTGTGCCCTGGCAATGCGGCCGATACAGCCGGCGCTCGGCTCGCGACAGCCCCGCAGGCTCCCCTGCTCGAGGACCTGAATTTCTGCACAAACTGCAGGCCCGCTTGCAACAATCCGAGCATCGCGATGGCACATAGTTTCGGTGTGTTTCGGTCGGGACATGTGTAGCATGCGCTTGAAACAAAGAGGGAGGGAGGGAGCGAGCGAGAGACAGAGAGAGAGTGAGAGTGAGAGTGAGAGTGAGAGTGAGAGTGAGAGTGAGAGTGAGGGTGAGGGTGCGGGAGCGAGAGAGATGGAAAAATACAGAGTCACAGACGCAGACAAAGCATATCATCCCCATGAAAAAACGCATCCAGCTAGACACCGTGGTGTATCAACGTCACAGAGTCATAAGCCTACGAGGACCAGTCGAGAGAAGCTCGCCTGCTTCTGGATGATCGCGGGGATGCTCCTCAAGGCATCGGCGGCTCTCTCGTTCAGATCGTTGTCCTCCACGAACCTTGCTGCATTGGCATGTGCACATGCATGTCAGACAGCAAAACTTTTCTCCGCTTGACAAACCTGAGTCGTTCTGGGGCTACAGTTCTGGAGTAGCTTTCGATCCGAGAAAGGCTGCAAGCGTGGCATTCTATGTCATTCTATGTCATGTGTGGCATTCTCGAACCGTTTACAGCAAGATTTGTTGAAGCAGGGCTCTACAGTCCGGGGTGAGGCAGGAAATGAGATTGCTTTATGTCTCCAAGCTCGCAGCAAACTTATCCTCCAACTCTGCAGCCGGCTTGAAAGCGAGCCTAATTAGACTCTACTGACTCTAATCATCGCTGCAAGGCCAGCGGCTGCTCCACCTCAGCTTCTGAAGGAATCCATGGCTGAGATGGCAAAGATCTCCGCCGAGGGTGATGGACCCCACTGTCGCCTTACACCGCGGTGCGCGCATGAAGCTTCAAGGAAGGCTTCCAGGAAGGGCAGTCCGCCTGTGCCTATGCCTACAGGTTGTACGAACGAGACGTGACTGTCACATCATGCCCGATGCCACTGCTCAGGCCGAGTGCAAGAACCACGCATGCTTTCTGAAAGCTCGCTCGCAAGTATCCATGTTTTCTGTCATGCAAAGTTACGCAAATACCAAGGTCCTCGGTGCCGCATACCCTGCCAATTCCTTTACGAGGCCGCTGGACTGAAGCACCAGACTAGTCTAGGTAGCATCATGAAGGAAGAATGCCGCACTCCCTCAAATCCTGCTTCCGCCTCATCCTCGTGTCGTTGCCGTGATACTATATGCGGCAATACTCTTTCGAGGCCATGCCCGAATCTACTTGACATGGCCCTGTGTTCGAACACGCACATGTATTGCCAACCGAATTGAGAGCATGCATTTGGGTGGACATGCGTGCGAAAACTATCCTGCATACGTACATACACACGTACACACACACACATACATACATACATACATACATACATACATACATACATACATACATACATACATACCTATATATATATATATACATACGTATAAGTGATATAACGTAACATAGAATAACATGACATTGTTACATTACTTTGCATAGCATTACGTTTAATACATATACATATACATATACATATTAATATACATATACATATACATATACATATACATATACATATACATATACATATACATATACATATACATACACATACATACATACATACATACATACATACATACATACATATGTATTTACATTATATATATATA